TGTGGGAACTCCGGTCATGGTCTAGGAAAGTGAGCATAGCAGCCTCCAGGCAAGTCGTGCAACTCTCATCCCCGTGTTGTGCAGTAATTTGAAAATTTTCAATAGTTGTATGTTTTACCTGCAAAAATTTGACTCCTTAGTTAGACAGATAATGTTTTCCAACATTGATAGTGGCACATCTAGAACTTTCGACATTTGCATTTTTCTACACGAAATGGTTTTTTATTTTAAATCGTAATAAACATACTTAGAAATCTTACTGGAATAACAAACTTAATTTAATGCTGTGAGCTTATATAGCCTGATGTCAGAGTTACATCACTGTATATACCAGGATGTAGTTCGCAAGAAACGTATGTAAATAAAGTCAGACTGGTGATAGAATTCTATGTTTAATATAAAAAAGCAATTCGCAGGGTGATCACGCCTGTATGGCCGAGCCATGCAGTCTTGGTAATTCATCCAGCATTTATCAATCTTCACTATTGTTTCTTAACCACTCAAGGTTCGGTGCATATCTCGTAAGTTATTGTGCGTTCAGATTCTGGGATGTTATACGGTGATGATTGCTTGTTATTTTAAGTGTCGCTACAAGTCCCCAACGTTTTTCTCTTGCACTTGTCGGTGAATGTGCGGTCTTTACTTACGCGTAAAAAACATAATACCTCCTGTTTTAATTCTCTCTCGAAAGTATTAATAATAAATCATGTCGGTACACTTTAAAGCAACTTAATATTTTGCTAGATATCATCAAATCTTTTTAAACATTGTGAGCATTATGTGAAGTTCATTGAAACTCTTATAATTGACTGAGTTCGCGGTTAAGCCAGAAAAGCTTTCTTCATAACTTATATCCATGAATAAATTTTTTGTTACATTGTGTGATGTTATGTAATCTAGACGATAAATTCACACTGGCTCCTCAACCAGCCAAGGTGGTCGTTGAGAATAAAAGAAAAGTTTAACCATAGTATAACGTTTGTTCTAACTTGTAATATACTGTCGTTTGTTTGAGACACGGTTTCGAGGTAACGACTGACGTACACCGCCACGTATGGAACATTTAACCATTGATCACATAATTGTACCAAGTCTATTTATTACACCAGATTGTACAATTTCAACACAAAATCAATCACGTTATTATGTTTTTTATATGTATCTTGCACCTTCCCGTTCAAAAAGTGCAACTACAATAGTCGAAGCGTCGCTCTAATTTACTGGCACATTACTGAATGAGTTTACGGAACATACGGAAATTCCAGGAATTCAGCACACTATGTTATAGAACTCGAAGATCATACTGGTTGTTGATTGTTTGGCAGTTGTTTTTAGTCCCATATATTGTTCAATTGTAGGAATGTAGCCCGTGTTTTGTCAATTTTCGCCATTACGTCTGCCTCCTGTCCTCCTTGTTCACCGATGATACTGTCCAGGTACGTGAAAGAGACTATATCTTCCAGAGCTTCACCATCAAGTGTGATTACGTAGGTATTCTCTGTAGTGCACTTGAGGTTCTTGCTATTTTCTTTGTGTAAATTGAGGCCTACTGATTCAGAGGCTGCTGCTACATTACTGGTAATCTGCATTTGTTCGTGTGTATGGGATAGCAGAGCTAGGCCAATTGTGAAGTCCCAGTCTTCTAATTGGTTTTGAGTGTTACGTCCACGTTTTTGCTCGTCCCCGTTATTGAAGTAGGTCATATCGATCCATTTGCAATTTAGGAACCCGAATTGACAATAGAACCAAACTCCAATTAAGGTACCAAAGTTTATTCGCGATTTACGAATAGTCGACCCAAATGATGTTTTAACAATAATTACAACAATTCTGGAAACAAACCTTCATTCTTGTAGGTTTCCGGAGCAAAAACTCCCTAATACCAAACCAAAGACAAACAGAAGCCAAAATGTCCGAAAGTAATGATATGAAGAAACAAGTTCAGAAGTCCAGTAAAACAAATACATCCAAGAATAGATATAAATGTTTCAAACAGTCAAATGTTTTCACTCCTCCCGTAACACCGGGCTAACCAATATATTCCTTGTTTCCCCTCAGATGTCGAGGTCTTCATAATCCAGTCAACCAACAGAATAACGAGGGAAAGAGAAAGAAGCCTTGTCTGACTCGCTTACATTAAAGGTGTCAGCTATCCTCCATGCATCACTTTGCGCTGTAGTCCGTCACATATATTCCGTATGATATTGACGATATTCTCAGATACTCCATAGTGCCGAAGAAGTTTCCATAATGTTCTCCTATCCACACTGTCAAGCGTCTTCTCATAGTTGATGAAGTTGACATATAGTGACGAGTGCCACTCGACTGATTGTTCAACAATAATCCGTAGCGTCGCGATTTGGTTTGTGCTCGATCGATCAATACGGGATCCAACCTGTTGGTCACGATGTTTGGCGCCTACTGCGTCTTTCATCCGGTTCAGCAACATTCAGTTGAAAACCTTTCCTGGTACTGAGAGCAGTGTGATGACTCTGTAGTCCTCAGATTTGCTCAGATCTCCTTTCCAGTACATCGGCACTTGTTCTTGCTGAGTAGAACGTGGTATATATTTTGAGGCTACTTCTATACCTGACGTTAGTGCTTCAGCTGGCATATTGTCAGGTCCTACTGATTTACCACTCCTGAATTCTATAATGGCCACCCAGATTTTTCGACCGTTGGTGGAGTGACATCTGTTGGAAGGTCTGTGTGTGGTGCTTCGATGTCCAGTGGATTCAACGGAAATGATCTATTCAGGAGTTCCTCAAAGTACTCTACCCATCTGTCCTTTTGTTCTTGAATATCGGTGATCGTCTGGCTTTCTTTGTCCTTGGTCAGTATACCACATCTCTTTGTTCGTTTCGTCATTGTGTAAACGGTAACTGTTAAGTTTAAGATTCAACATTTAGCACCATATGAACGGTCAGAATTGGTAAACGCAGGGAAACTCAATCAGTATGGCGTAGCCACGCCGCACAGGTTTAATCACACCATTAACTCATTTCGCTTCATAATAAATTATTCTATCCGCAGCCTAAATGTGTTCTGTAGAAGTGCTGAACATCATATTACTGACTGTCGTAGTTGGACGAGTCAGTATAGACAATGATGCAACCTCTACGTACAATCTTATAGATGTGATAGCCACATGGTAAATCCGCGATTTTTGATTTAGGTATATTATTTTAATTTCGTACTTTACACCGACCTAGACAGAAATTCTAAAAATTCATACAAGATGCATTCATCGCGTGTCAGAGACACTTAGATTCTGAGATACAGTAGTAACACACTACTAACTGGAAGATCGTAAAACAGGATCCACTTTTGTCGGCACAGTGAAACATTACTGGAGTTAATAATTCTTGCACTTCTGCTTTTGCGGGATCATATATGTTATCTGTACACTTTGCATATATATTTCAAATGCATTACTGTCTCAAATCTTATTGAATCCAGAGCGACCTGATATACAATCTTGAATGAAGCAATCCTCATTTAGAAGTTATTTCGACAGAAATGTTTTAACGGCTAGCTGACTGACTGAAATCACGGGAATAGTGGCCTATCTACAAAAATACATCTTATTTCTTCCAACATTCTATATGAGATACAATGCTACAGCCAGTTACAAATTTCCCCAAAATATGTTATTGTAAAATAGATATAGGAGCTAACACAAATAACACTAGAGACCCAGTTTTCCCTTTTTATCCTGTTACATGTAGTTTTTCCTGACAATAAAAAAAAAGACAGAAACGAATTTCCCAGAATAGCTTGGACCGTTACAGAAGAAAAAAACGCTTCAAAATATCAGTGGTTTGCTGTTACATTGAAAAGCACATACAAACATAGAAAATGGTTACCCTTTCCCAGTAGATGTTTACTGTAATTGATCATTGGAAGTATAAAGAACAAAACATCAGTTCTGTAATCCGAATGTTGGTTCATTATATGAAATTGAGCCACTGTAGTTACCTAATTCACTACACTGCAGAATGAACTAATGCTAAATTATAAGAGCAAGAGAGATCTGCAAATTACTTAGCAAGTCAATTACAGTTGTATTAGTAAAGATGGCTACTAAATAAAGATGAGTCTACGGTCAACAGTTAGGCTCTCTGTTGCTGCTTCTAAAAGTGACACCTATTTTTTCTGTTCTAGAGCGTTAGAAAACCTGCATCAATGTAGAAATATTATTCCCAATGCATCGAATGGCAACAAAACACATTGCATCACTCCGCGAATTACTTGTATCGTACTTTACAAGAAACATACATTTCGAGTTATACAAAATTGAAAACCATTTATTTGACGTATATAATAAAGATATATTGACAGTAATTTCTGTAGAATCCACCACTTATCCGGAAGAATATATTTTATTTGATAAAAGAAAACTCAAAAAGTAGGAGTGATCAAAATCAATGTTTCAAGTCAATATTATGCATGGACTGAATATTGAAGCGGGGAATAATTGATTAGCTTCATTACATTGTCAGCTTACGCCACTTACTAGTTACACTGTAGGTCCTCATAGTTTGACAGAGATCTGAACGCTTCGAAAAAACACATGAGAAATAGAAACAATGTAGCTTTCAGTCGTTTGGTGGTGACGATAGTCAGAAGTCAACCAGGAGGCATCACGTTTGAATCTCATAACAATTAATTTGGCATTGACTGTAGAATAGTATTCACTAGTTCTCATATGAAGTGTAGTTCAAAATTCATCACATAAACTCGGATTTGACAAATGAATTGCATACAACCAAAAAATAAATATGCATCTACATTGTGAAAATCCTAAATAGCGAAGATTAGTGCGTTTTTGCCTTTGAAATACATTATAAAAACTACAGCAGGCTAATGTTTAGAAAACCAAGTCACTAACGACAATGAAATGAAGAGTCAAATAAATCAAATAAGGAAATAAATTAAAATAAAAACAAGTACGAGGGAGAGAAAACATAAAATTAACAGGATTAAATTCAATCCATGAATTATAAAATGTTACGTTTATTCATTAGATACATTAAGGTGTTCATAGCTGCATCTAAATAAGATAAAGTCTCCTGGAGTCTTGGTATCACACATTCAATCTATTCAATGAATTAAAAAAAAAAGTTCACTACAAACAGGTGGAATTGAGGATTTTTGGAAAAAATGTCTGAAGCTAAGGTGAAGCACAATGTTTTCATAGCTCAATAAGTGATAAGTCCAGTAACTTCGTCTATTTTCTGGTTCATTCTGTGAACTAGTATTGTATTTAGAGGATAATTTATAAGTTTTAAAATTCTCTGTAATTGTATTTTCCACCTCAGTCAGTCAGTCAGTCAGTCAGTAACAACGTAGAACTTCTTACGCACGTACATCAGTTCGAGTTGCCACACCACATTAGCACAGAGATGCAGTTGTCGACTCAAATCCCGTAGTGGTAGAGGTAGTAAGAGTATGAGCAGTGATCGGAAACATTAGGGCTTGAAGATGTTATTCAAGGAGTATAATCCAGTGAAGTGAATTTGGAAAGAGGAAAAAAGGGACATGAATAATTCAGAAGATTAGAATTTGGGAGAACACAAAGAGTGGATGCACCTGCGCCATTGCAAACGATTTTGAGCCATGTCATTCAGGGTCTGTAACCATCGGTTGCTATCATCTCGCGGTCCCCAACCAGATAGTCTACATCTACCAACATGACTCAGTCTACTTGTCAGTGACTTCATGGACTCATGCCATGTTTTGGTCTGGCCGCCCCTAGCTGTGTTTTCCACCTAGTACGTTATGGATAACTTCAGATGATTAAAATCCAATATTCAGCATGTATCAGCTAAATTAACGAAAAAACCACTGAAACTGTTGAATAAAACATACCCAGTGAATATTGAGTATGTTGAAGGCAAAAATACCAAGAATGATGGTACAAGATATTCACGGTTTGGGATTTTAAGAATTGATAGAAAATCTATCTATGTACAATACAAAAGGATACAATCATCTTCAAAATTCCGTTCTTTTTGTAAAAATGATATCAACTTTGAATGAAATCCTATCTCAAAATGTCTATCGACTTAAGTAGTATATAACACGAATCGGAAGTGGAAACCCTGGCGGCAAAAGGCTATGAAGGTTGACTTGAAAACAGAATAAGAAAGAATTGTGAATCTGAAGAATCATACAGAACGTGAAAGACAAATGACGGAAATTTGCAAATGAAGTATGTCATGTATGATTCTTATATTTTATCAAAATTTTCCATAGTTTTGCATTAAAACATATTGGTTATCCCCACCTGTGTTCCCGATTACAACCATACCAGTGTAAGTAAAACAGTTCTCTATTGTGTACGTATGTCAAATATTTTCCCATGTAATTTCATTCAAAGGAGCTCAATGACACAAACATAATCAAAATTTCATTTTTGTATTGTTTATTTGAATCTTCCTATTGATGTTAAGGACTGCAAATGATCAATCTTTTATTGGCATATGTGGGTCCTGTGCGGATCGCCTCGAGTTACAAGCGTTATAAGAAAATATGGATAGTGGCTAGCACTGAAATTCAGAACGCGCGTTTCACCCTATTTGGGACTCATCGGCTGGACGTACATGCATCACAGAGTTAGTGTTCACTCCGAGACACGAACCCAATACTGTTCGCTTTAATTGCATTAAGTACCCATAAAATGATTGTTACAGTCTGCCTCAAGCACCTGTGTCCCTTGGACTACATGGTCACTTTACCGAGTCTCTAACACCACCACTTAACCGGTTCCATTCTCAGATAACTTTAGAAGCATTCTTCCATAGTCTAGGGAACTAGGAAGTGGCAGTTAATTGTATGTTTATTATTTTCGTATTGCCTAATTCCATGCTTTTTTAAACTGCAAACTGTTGCTATAGCATTTTCAACCCATAAACTAGAAAAGATCATTTGTGTATCCAGTACTCCAGATTTTTCTATCATTTATGTTGTCGTTCCGTGTTAATAACTGTTACTCAATTGGTTTTCTGCGTGGTCTGACCTTTTATGTATATAAGTGAATGTCTGACGGGTATGAGGGCTGATGTCACCTCCCGGCTGCCAATACCATGGAAGGGTATCTCTTGAGGAACCTGAAAAGGAAGTTGGATTAATGTTGACCTTAACGACTCATCTATCAGAAGGTAACGATAGATCATGTAAGCGCGTAACAATACTAGTTATTGCAATATGCTTTCATATATCAAAAAAGTAAAGGCCATTTATTTGACTACAATACTGTCGAAAATGTATTCAAAACATGCAACATATATGTATTTGCTAAACTGTACAAAACAACTTACACTTGATCGATTTAAAACTTCCCATCGCTTATCCAAACTATTGTAAACTAAATTATATGCTGCAAATACTAATGAACAGCCACGTATAAATATGCTTAAGACAATATCTTTCGGTATAGGTGGATAAAAACATCTCTAGATTAAAACATAAACAAAACAACGGTAATAAATATTACAATTACTGTGACAACTGATATTTAATGCAAGGGAACATTATGATTAGCGCAGACAACTCAACAAAGTTTACAGAGACACGATAAGCATATTGAAATAAATCCATAAAGAAGTAAACTCGTCCACAAATCGATTTTATCGACACTTAACCAATATCACAAATAACTGAAATAGAGGTGTTATGTCGGAGAAAAACAGACTATTTGCTCTTATTGTACTGAGTGCTGTATGATCGGGGACGTAATTGACAAGAAAGCAGTCACATGATTTCTCTCTTGTCCAATAATCGATCAGTTCACCTACAATGACACATTAATCAGTGAACAACAACCTAGGCGTTAAAGCCTATTGATCTTCGAGCTTCTTTTAACTCGATGACCGACCACAAACTGAAGGGAGTGAGATCAATTCTTGATTGTACTAAAAACTCGTACAACAATATATTAGAAATGCCCGGTCACACATCAATACAATTAAGAAATCACAGTGTATAAGTGATACAAAACCAGAGTGTAATAGGGGAGTAATTAATTAGTAATAAATCTAGAGTAATAAGACATGACAAGGAGGAGAAAGAGATTACGTCGTAAAATGATCCGAGGTTACAAATATTAAGAGAACGTTGCTTAATGATCAAGAAGATAGAAAAGAAGGGGAGGATAAAAATAATTTACGGGTGAGAAATATGACAGATTATTGCCCACTTAACAGATAAAAAATAAATGAAAAACAAATAAAGGTTGAACGATAATCATAAAAAAATTGTCACAAAATTTACAAAATCACAAAACAATAATTAAGACAAAAACATACTGAAGACGGAGATGAAATCCGTGGGAGTAAAAGATTTTACACGTATTGCTTTCGCAAGCAGAGTTGAAGCTTGAATAACCAACACTACATCAGTGTATAAGCTTTTGATTCGACTTCTCTTTGATCTTAATTCTTTGACCGTATAGATCATTTCGGAGGATGATTATCTCTCATATTCCTCGCTCATAAATTATTTTCATCCTCCTATTTTCCTCCAATCTCTCAATTATTAAGCAACCTTCTTTAGATATTTAAAATCTCATATCACTTTATGATATTTCATTGAAATCATGAACCGATCAATGTTAGACCACCAGAGAAAACCTAGAAGCATTGAAGGGTCGTTTTGTCCTAGTACGGGACTCCTCAGAAGTACGCATGCACAATCCCGCGTGCAAGACTGCCACCCAGGACCTTAGGTTTTGCGGGAATGCTTAGCCTCTAGACCACTGAGCTGGCATCCGACGGTGTTTACGTCTAATTTCAACAAATCCAGGATACTGCGTGACCATCCCCAACTGCCTCACACAAATAATGAACTCTCTATGTCTACGGAAATTACTTTTCTCGCCTCACACTCAATACGGTTGAACCCCACCAATCACGGTCGAGAAATCCCCTACTAGGACGAAATAGCAGTGCAGTGATTATAGGTTTTCAATAGTGATCTAACATCGGTTCATGATCTCAATGAGATTCAACAATCTCTACAACCTCATTCTGAGAACTTTATGATATAATTTCTCCACTTTCTTTTATGGAGTCATATGTTTATCAAAAAAATATAAATACATTTGACACGGAATTATGGATCAATCAAAAGTTTAGAAATAGAATGCATAAAAATAGAACAGTGTGTGTCAAAGTATTAAACAACAAAACTTTAGATAATAATCATTCGTATGATAATCCTAAATTTTATACATCCGCACTGTACATTTCATTATGTCAAGGGGAAATATAAAAGTGGACTTTACACAAATTTAATATGAAAGGCATGCTGCTTGTTATGATAGAAGAAATTCATAGAAAAACGTAATGCTGTACAAATTATATATATATATATATATATATATATATATATATATATATATATATATATATATATATATATATCTTACCCGACTAGGATTGGCCAGGTGCTCTTCAATAGTTTTACGCGGTGGTTGTGTTAAACAATCTTTAGCATCTCGAATGTAGGAGAATAATTCGAATAAAAACTACAATAAAAGTTAATTAAACCGTAATCAACTGATGAAGGATTAAATGACTGTGAGTTTATGAACAACACGTAAACGCAATATTCACATTAAGATGATTGTACACATAAGAATTATTTTTATTTTTTTCCATTGGGAACATTTAAGAAATCCAAGACAACTGTTTAGTTCTTAGGTCAACTTACTGATCAGTTATGCATTGATTTGAATTATATGTTCGGAGTCTGACATTAGTTCTTTTAAGTCATTTGGAGATAATAAAGTCAGAAATGATGAGAATACTTAGTCAAATGACATTGGGCGTTTGCTGTGCTATAATATATTTCTAACTAGTTAAAGCAAGAACTTATGGAGTACAGCTTATATAAGGCAACCAAAATGGACATATTTTTATTAATTATTTACCTATGAGAAAATAGGTGGTCGCAAAACTATGGAACTTGTTGGTTTAAAAAAAATTCCAACTGATATTACTTTCCTCGCTCCCAATAAATTGGGAGAACAATTCAATTACCGTGGCAATATGCTTTCAAGTCTAACACTTTTACTTTTACTATGAGGATTCAAAGTGAGGGGCTTGCCTTGTGATGCAATTTGATGATTTCCGCAATGTATGTCCTACATTATGACACACATTCATAAAAATTGGGTGGAATGTGACTATCAATGAAATCAATGACGCACATTTCGTCTTATTTGAAACACCTCAACTGGATGTAATGGCATCTTAGAATTGATATTCATTCAGGCTATCTGTTATTAATAGCCAAAACAATAACGTGTTGCGTTGAAGACTAAATTACTGTATCCAAGTCCCAGAGTGTGCGTTAACTCTGGAATGTAGGTACATCCATTTGACGAGTCTTGAACACGACGAAACATGCATCATGAATTTTACCGATAGCCACATTTCATCCAATCTATACATTCATTACAGTAGTAGTTTACGGCATATTGAAAAAGATCTACAAGAATTACATCACAATTATATCACTAGATTGACACATGAACTTTCTCTATATCAATCATCATATAGAGTATATATAGACGGTAGTGATAGTAAAGATGGATAATTATGATTATCCTTGACTTACCGATTGACTTTCAGGTAGATCATTTACACTTGTGGAAATTTCTGCAGATTTTATTTTTTCAAGGGATTTTGTGACATAATTTAAACAATCTTGTATCTTTAGAAAGAAATTTAAAAAATTAATTAATAAAGAAATTTATCATTGTATTTTATAAAATGAGAGAAAGAATATAGTCGTATTGGCGGAAGTAAAGCATATGGATGAGTCAATTAGATTCCAGAAAGAAATTCATAGTTGTTGTTAATCCGTGATGAAAACCCTATTAATTCAAACATATAAAGGCTCGTTATATATGTTACAATTATTCATCCATCATAATTATATTAAATCTTTTTTTTAAAATCATAAATTGTTTTGTAACCAAACACTATTTTCTCGTTCGTTAGGAAATAGTTCAAGATCGTTTATATACTTTCACCAAAGTATTGATATACAATATGATGAAATAGGAGTGAGAGCAATATATCCAGTAACCGTGGTCGTCGACATCGTGTGTTCGAGCACTGAGTAGAAGCCAGTGGCTATCCTGTTGTAACCTTTTTTTACTTTCTTTATAAAAAGTGACTGTAACTTCCTTGACTGAAAGAATTCTCTCTGGTTGTACCTTTCCGTCTCCTCCACTATTATTACACTACCATACACTAATCTGTGATCGTTATTGTTTTTTTTTTCTCTCTTATACGCATCTCACATTCTTTATCTCTGCTCATTCTCATTGTTATTGTGTGGCACAGATATATCTGGTGCACCATTGTACCAATAATTATGTGTTCAAATAAATAAATAAATAAATGATGAAATAACAGACTTCGAGTTATCTTAGTTGTCATATGATTTAGTAGCAAGTTACATATAAATTAGTCAATTATATACGTACATATATTAGTCCAAAATATCACATATTATGTTAGAACAGTCAAAAATGATAGTAGACGAGTCGAACTACAAGTGTTATATCAATGGTGAAAAAAATCATACATAGAAAGCAATATTTGGAAGAAAATAAATGAATTCAATGAATAAAAATCTATACCGAAGATGACGATTACAAAAAGAATAAAAAAAGTATAACTGAATTACTGCTACGGATTTATGGTTATATCACTCTTAATGTCATGATTATTGTATGAATTCAAACAAAAATTTTCTACACCTACCAACACAGTTAAAACCGAAAACTATTAAGCTTTGTTGATTGGTCATAAGTTTTGGTTTGGTTACATCTAACCTTCTTTTATCCAACTCCCACACTGATAGATAATCTTATACCATTACAAACTGAAAGCATATATTCTAACCTGAATACTACTACTCATTGTTAATGGGAGATATGATAGAAATTACGAATTAGTGGATTAGATTTGAGTGTCGAAGTCAATTAGTCCAATATTGCCACATCTCAAAAGTAAACAAGAAGACATGATGGAATCAGTGACGGAAAAATTTCGAGCGATGATTTATCATTGATAACATTACGTTTAAACGTGATTGTGTAATTTACATTAATTCATGTGAAAAAAGTAGACATGCTCTCACTGACCTGTTGTAATTTATACGGTGATCCGTGATTGTCTTTTATAATAGAATGATATGATGTTGATGTGTTTGTACGATGAACATTCAAGTCCTATTTAAAAAATCAGGGAAATAAGTAAACACAGGTTGAATGAATTATTTATTTTAAAGTCAACGTGGATTCTGTTTCTAGGGAATTTGGAGACATTAGCATTGGGGTTTGTACGGACTGTTGAGTTTTATGGTTTACACTACAGACCAACATTGGTGAGTAGTGACCGGTGGAGTTCAACCGCGAGGGGTTTAAAGGAGTTACCACGAATGGGGTTGTATGATGGCAGAATATCGAAAATTAATTGAAGTTCGAAATACACACAGTTGATACAAATTTAGCGGTTTAAAGGTAAGCGATCCCTGTAATATCTAAAGGTATTGGATTCGATCCCAGGTGAAAGCACGAATATGCATTGTTGAGAAGTCCTTTATTAGAAGGAAAAATCTGTGTAGAGCTCCTTAGTTTTCAGTGAATGTTTAAATGACATCAGTCCGTGATAAAAAATCGAAGATCTCTACAAACCGTCCATTAAAATATGTTTCGATCTGTTATGCCCCGATAAGCATAATGAATGGTAACTTTTGGGATCCATTTATGAACTAATAGCATTTGAGATTCTCCCAAGTGAGAAATACGACATAAAACTGAAAAAAGCGCTTTTGGTGCAAAAACAAGGAAATTCAAATTTCCTAAATAAAATTACAAAATTAGGTCCTTTTCCAAGTGAGTTCTGGGGATCTAACATCCCCAACACGATCATAACTAGAACTTACCTGATATAGAATGGAAGGTCTTTTATTCAAACACTTATGGGGGATCATAGATCCACAATGTAGTGTACTAGTAAACAAAAACCCTATAAATCTCTAGCGTTCACCAGTTAATTTCAGACTGTGATGAAAATTGTCTCAAAAATTGAACAGATTTTACCAAGTCATATAGCTAAAAAAGTGAATAGAATCATCACAAACGTAGTTTGTACTGTTCTATGGTCCGACCTAATCGTTAACATATTTCTAACGTTTGAATGTCAACTAGCCGCTCAGAAGAAGAGGATTAAGACTGCATAGATATTTAGAGATTACCAGATTGACAGAAGCAAGCGGGAGGTTATATTGGATAGAAGAAAGATTTACTTATGTTAAATATCTGAATATAATTACCAGGAAGAAATTGAATCTAAGGTTATATATTGATTTAAATGTAATTTCCGTTCATTTGACTTGGAATTAATTCAGTGTAACTTTTGTTTAGTCTAACACTCATTTGTATTTATTAATCCAATCATATTTTTTATATATATATATTCATCTGTATTAACTTTGTGTAAAAGTTGAGAAGCTCTAATAATTACAAAAATTAATTTTGTGTATAGATGAATGCGTTTAATACTTGGGTCTCCATCTATAAATCTTCTAGACAAGCTAGGACTTGTTTCTAGTTAGCGGGCATGGAAGACGAGGATAATAAGGAGTCTTGGTCATTACCATTAAAGCCATGGTGGGGAATCATTTGCATAGTACAGAAAATTGTCAGTATATTACATAACAATCTAAGATGACAGGTTTGTTTAGACAGATTATTTATTACTGGAAAATTCCCATTATATTAAAACATAATTGTATGAACGAAGAATATTCTTTTCAATAATTTCTCATTTGGATGATGTACTCCGCCTTAAATCTGGCCAATCTCATGGATTATTAATTTGGATTTATAATTGTAGAACCTGATGAGAAATTATTGAAAAGATTATTTATCGTTTATGTTCGAATTCAAGTTGAGGAACGCTTTGTACGCAAAATGTTGTTAAACATTAAATATCGAACTGTAAATGTATAACAGTTGATAAGAGGTGTTAATACAATTATAAATGAATAATTAATTAACAGGTAAAACTATAATTCTCTTTTAAAAACTTACAGCTTCATATACTAAATCACCATAGACTGAAAGAACAGCACTAATATGACCATATGAACTGGAACAATGAAGAAAGGAAATCAAACAAAAGATAATTGAGAATTAGATTAGAAAATAAGAATACCAAAACTAAACAGGGAAATGATTTTTAAGAAAAAAACAGGGTCATATGTGTTAATGTACTGCTTCAATGCAATAGATTTTAGTATATGGAATAGGAAAAAGAAAGTAATGAGGAAAAACAAAGTAGTATAGGTAATAATGAGGGCAGAAAAGTCTTAATACAGTAAAAGGAGAATTGAGGTTACGCATATAAACGAATGAATATTAGTAAAAGATCCGGTAAACAAAATAAAAGCACGATGAGGATGTGACCTGCTAAAACGATTCTAGTTGACATGAAAGAGGTCAGTTGACTTTCAAGTTTACTTCTTTACGGAAAACTTACTCATACATAACTAGCTAAAAGGACGAGCTATAAGACAGGATCAAACACGACATCACGTTTAAGTTACTATGAAAATTGCTCGGTACGGCAACAATTGTATTTCAGTGTAAGATTTATTCAGTACAGCATAGAGCATGGGTTTTTGATTCATTCTGTAAAAAATCCATTTAAGTATTTCCTCTATATCAGTTACATTTGATATTCGTTAACTCATCACTAAATATCAGTAAAATGTATGTATAAATAAGTGCATGTAGATAGCGGTTTTTGTGTTTCGCAAGGTAAACAAATTTTAACTCACGAACTGATCTTAGCTAGACAAGCATTAAAAATCTAAATGCACTGGACACCCTTCTTATCTAATTATAAGAATCCTCAGCAGTGTGCATCCACGAACCACCATCAGAAGGACGAACTCAGGACACCTGATCTTGCGCGCGACCGCTAACCTATAGACCACTGTGTCTGAATCCACTGGTCTACAAGTCTAACTCCAATCAATCCACGATATTGTGCGACTATCTTCAATCGTTTTTAGTGGGTATTTTGCTTATACCCTAAATGGTTGAACTCAACTGTTCACGACTTCACACCTGCTTCGACTCCTGGAGTTCTACTTAAAAGCCTGGATCAGTGGAGTTTAATCTATGTCGGATGTGAGAAAGTTATTCACCGTAGAGAATGGATGAGAGTTGTACAATATCTCTAATTGATTGAACTTATATAATAACACCGTCGGGTGTCCGCTAAGTGATCTAGAGGATAAGAGTTCGCACAGGAAGTCGAAGGTTCTAAGTTTGATCCCTAGGGTTAAGGTTATGGATGAGCACTTCTGAATTTTGTACTGGGACGAAACAGCTGTTCAGTGCTCTCAGATTTTCAATGGTTGTCTAAATTAGGTCGATTTGTAATCTCAATGGCAAGAATTTAGATATAACTACTTGAAATAATATGTATGCAAACAATTTACCTTGGTGATCCTAAAACAAACCGTTCACTTGCTTCAGGAATAAATTTTACTTTCAATTGGTCTTGGCATGAAATTAAACAATATTCAACATGAGATAAAAAGTGTGCCTGAAAAAAATAAATAAAGCATAAATCATTACTCAAGAAAAGAAATTCGAGGAAGAATTCCATAAAAAAATCAGTGAGCCACAAAATGATGAATAGATTACTATTGTTTGATGGGAATTACACTATGCAGAACTTTCTTAACTATATTTTTAAATAAAATGTATACAGAAAGCTTATCTTGCCCTTCGATTGATGAGGCTGTAAACCTCTGTTCACTGAGATAACTGTATTTTCTAATGATTGAAATTTGTTGTCTGTTTTCCTTTTTTTTTGCTGACTTTCATCCCGCTTCTCCTATTCTTTGATAATATTTATTCAACATACGTTTCGCGTACACTAAAATGTATATCATTTATCTTCATTAGATTCTCACCTACTTAAATTACCTTCATGTTGTGCTTATTGAGAAGTGTAACGACTTGGATTGTACCAGATCATACGTTAGATCACTTACTGACCGATTACACAACATTTTAAATGTTACACATATAATAAGTTACAAATACTTTCAATCCATAATAGTTAACACGAATATTTTTAAGAGCATTGACTTTCAGAGTAAACAAGATTTTGGTAAAATGATTCGTTTTATAAATGATTAACATTTTTCAGTGAGAACATTTTATTTAGGATATTATTTGTGACAGAAGTAGGCTAGCAACAATGATCCCAACATCACTTCGTTAAGGTTTCAGTGAAATAAAAAAGAAAGGGGTGTGGTTTATTGATTTGAAGACTAGAATTTCAAACAAGAAGCTACAGGTACAGATGATAGACACATTTTTTATGTAGGTCCAGTAATCGTCTACTTAGAAGTAATACTTACTTAGAGAAGTCTTTAGTGTTCTCAAGTATACATGAAATCGATAATAGTAAACACGATTGACGTGAACATTTACTTCTAGACTGACACCCTTGGAATTGTAGATATTTTAGGAAGTCTATGTAGATGCACGTTTTGTTCCTGTTTGTTATCTACGTTTTTCTTGAACCGTTACAAAAGTACTGATAAACTAACTGTTGAATTTGAACTGGACAATCAAGGGCTTGGATCCCTAACACCATATTGATCTTGAAACTTTACAAATGTTTATATAAGCAAAGATGGATAGTGGCTAGCAGTGGAATCCAGGACGCGCGTTTCGTCCTGTTTGGGACTCGTCAGCTGGATGTAGCTGCATCTCAGAGTTGATGTTCACTCTGGGACTGATCAATTTCAGTCCTAGAACACCAATGGGAAGATTCAAGTAAAACAATATCAAGTGAATGTTTATATAGTTTGAGAGACACCTTAGTACTGTTGCATAAAAGTTAACGAGGGAGATTAATTGTTTATATTAGTAATGTTAGACGAATCTATTAAAAAGAGTGAATAATTTGATTAGACAGATTCAAGTTAAAGTTAAGTGAAAAATCCTAAACGAAACCTAGAATTCCGATTTGATTCTTCTTTGTAAATCATTATCAAGAATTACCTGGAGGTATTGTGTTCTCGAAGTTGGATGGATAATTGTACACTTAAACTGTCCAGATCACAGAACACAATACCTCTAAAATTTTCATTTAGCGCTACAAATATTCTTCGTTTCAAGAATGACCTGAAACCTATTATTTAGTTGAAATTAAAAATCGAGGGTTGTTTTTCTTTGAGTATTTATAATCTCGACTAGTCAATGGTTATATGTATAAAACAAAGAATTAATGCTAAATCAACACTAATCTAAACGATAAACCATACCATACCATTAGACAGATATCTCCAAGTGATTTACAGTAACTAATCAGAAACCTCGGTTTCTTAATAGAAGCGCATCAAACATCCCATCACATTATGTAACAACGTACACAAACACTTGTTGGAAATGAAAACAAATACACTAAAAAAAACATGTTTTATCAAAAAATATATTATTTAAAAATACAATAACAATTGTACAGAGTAGATTATACACACGTAAATATAGGATGAACACAAGATTTTAATGGTTAGTAAAAAATGTAATAAAACATATCAGTACTATACGGTTAGTTGACTGATGGAGGAGAATTATCATAATTCTATGTATAACAACAACAACAACAAAAAATAGAATATCTGTTGCCGTATTTACTGAGCAAAGGTAAGTGATATTGCCCACTTGTAGATAATAAAATTATAAAAAAAAGTAGTGAAATAGAATAGAATAAATCCTTACGATATTGGAATACAACCTAGAATAGATAAAATAAATTAATTAAGGTATAAAAGAAATGCACAACTATCTGAGTGTATTCGCTGCCCAACAAGTCGGTGTTTACTGGTTACTGTTCACCGGTATCAATATATTTCGACAGATCAAAGCTTAAAACACGACTGACAAGACAATTATTTTCCTGTAATATAAACAAATAACAAACAGAAATGCATGATGAGATGGTAATATTTTGACATCAATAAATCAATAGCGCACTACTAATACAATACTATGGTTATCAAAAGGCGAAGTTGATCGAATGATATGCCAAGTAAAGTTGCAAGATAGGCAACCTTATTTATGAAGGTCAAAAGTCAATATCAAGGTAAGTGTGAGCAACGTCATTCTGAGTATAGTGAATTACTCATTAAGCCCAGTTCACAACCAATAAATTCCTGTCTATCTATGAACCTATAAGCATACACGAGCCTTAAACAATGCTATGAGGAATATTTTGAAAAGACGAACTTCGACATAGCCATAATTTTCTCCCGCTGTATAGTTCGTAAGCCAAGAGTTAGAAGCATAATAATGATTAGTGAGACACTGCAGAATACAAAGATCAACATTATACATTTGGTGAAACGGTAGTACTTAACAACTCAGTGACTGATTAATATGTTATGCTTCTTGTACGTACTACTGATACAATAATCTGAAAGTTACCAGTGAAAAGTAAAATTGACTACTTCAAGCTTTATCTGTTTGAAAAGTGTAACAACTATGGCACTGTACAGTAAACGAAAAAAGTCAAATTAAGCGAAAACATATTCATAAAACAGTATCACAGTGACACATATACATAAAAAGTAGAATTTGATTAGTAGTTTCAAATAATAGGGAATAGATAATTATACCCTACTGATTAACACCTCATATACATGAAAATCCTACGGGTTGGAAATAAAGTACTTTGACTGACTAAGCTGTTGATCTTTAAACTATGAAGTGTTGTATTGAGTATCCCGTTTAACAGCTTACTGGTTTACTTAGATTTGTGTAGATATGCTGCATTTTATAAGCTCTATCAGCCCGATCTCACTTCTCTTGTAATGAATAAGTAATTCCATGTTACGTCAGCGTTGATAAGTTGTGTTCAAAACCAGGTGTGAAAGTAATTGAGTCAGCTAACCCACAGAATACAATACAATCAAAATATTTAACTATGTGACCATGATTCATAGAAATTATCGTGTTTAATCAGTTTTAGGATGGATTACCTTCAACTTTCTAAAAACAGCTTTTACGTCATGATTCATATATTCATTTAGTTTTTTATGCTCTGAAAAGATGCAGCTATCAACTTAGTTAATTTGTTTAGTTCAGTTATTTATCAGCCTTTATAGTAAACACCCCTAATCATCTTTAACCCGTTGTGTTCAGTGATTTTTATTGATAAGACACGTTATAGTTAAGTATTTTAAAATTCTATACTCTAATTGTGTTTGCATTTATAATATAGTGAACGACAGCACAAGTGAGGATAATCGAATGTATTTCAATACAAAATTACAGAGAACACCTTATTAAATATGAGAATCATATAGTAAATACTTAATTTGAAAAGTATCCAACAATTGTATCAAACTTGACTGTTCCTTTTGTAAATGTCAATCAATCATCTCAAACTTCATTGTCCCTTCGTTTCCACACCAATCATTCTCTTTTCTTCGATTTTCTTCACCTTCTATTACCAGACATTTCACTTTCGATTGATGATACATACTATATCTATCTGTCGAGATCAGTAGCACACATCACAATAACACCATATTTTAGTAAGATTTGGAACCCATTTTTAACTCTGAAAAAAATGTACTTAATCCATCCTTTCTAGGTTCTAATTGTCATCACTTCATGGTGCTTAGTCTTGAAATATCTAGGTAATCAACGTATTTAGTAACAAGTATACGATAAAATATACCAGTTTATCAAAAGAAATAATCAATTACAAATTATGCTCTTTTTATCTTTTCTATATAATTCAACATTGAATAATAATAATAACAATAATAATAATAATAATACTTACAATATCTGGATAAATACCAATTAAGCTATCAGCACGACTGTAGAATTCTTCTTTCAATGAAATAACAATAATTTGTGCACGTGCTGAAGCATATTCACGTATAAAACTGGCAACCTAATAGTAATTATAAATAGATAAATAGAATAAATGGATGCAAGCATTTATCAGAGAAAGAATCACGACAAAAACTAAACGAATTCATATTGTAAACTAGTATTTTGAGATGGTCAGTCAGTCAGTTACAACGTAGGATCAAGCACATACATGCATCGGTTCAAGTTGCCACACCTCATTAGCACAGCAAGATGAACACCGGATTCATAGAAACAGTTAACTCAATGGTGTGATATATAAAGGAAAGATTTTATGTAACGATATAGTACAGACAGAAAGGATTAGTTCGTAGAAAGAAAGATATGTTGCTCAGTGCTATAAAAAAAACTCTGCATTTTATCAGCGTCTTCACCAAACAGGATTATATCATTTGAGTGGACCTCCTAAAAGGAGATCAATTTCCGAAAATTCAGTCGACGAGAACGTTATTTCCAACAGTACGTCTATGATGAAATTAAACAGAAATGAAGAAAGTGGACCGCCTTGACGGACACCACTTGAGGTTGCAAAAGTAGATGACAGTTCGCCATAAGCTCTGACTCGACTAGTAGTGTTCGAGTAAAGAGCCTTCACAATGTTTATGTACTTCTGAGGTACATCTTTCAATGAAAGACACTGCCACAGAATCTAGCGGTCTAGGGAATTAAATGCTGCTTTAAGTAAAAAAACTGTCATTGTTGGACACCGATAAACATGCCTATGTTTTAAAATCTGACGAATGATGAATACGTGGTCGATGCAACCACGACCAGGTCACACTATTGGAATTTTTCAAGTCAAGCTTTTTTATCTATTTACAACAGGAATATTAAGAGTTTATATTTTATAATATTATTGTTACCGTGTTATAGTGACCTGATTTTTCTTTTTAAAAAACCCATTTGTTTAAAAGAAGAAAAAAGTGAATATAACAATGGAAATACAGTTTTTAGATGCTTGGATCATTTAAACAAACATTGTGATGATTACTTAGCAATGTTTAATGTATCAATAAAAACTGCACTAGGTTGTC